ACATAAAATGATATATATATCGGCCGTTGCTCTATATCTCCAGTAATATGTCTTAGTAAGATGATATTTCAAAGATCCAAACATATAATGCGATGCAATCCAGTGCTGATTGAGAGCTGAAGAAATAAAGGCTCCTCCTCAGATGTGAGATGTTCTGGAGGCTTGTGAAGATCATTCCTCTGCTGAGGAACAGTGAAAGTAAAGCTTCTGGAAACAAACGCTCCTCAAAAAATCCTGAGGATCAGATTTGAGACTCTAAAACATGATTGATGGAGAATCAAGTAAAGCTGAGCTGCTTCAGTCCAGTAAGTGTTCATCTGGAAATATTACTGCAGTTATTCTGACCTTTACTTGAGAACAATCAGTCAAGATTCGAAACGAGGAGCTCCAGCTGAAGCTGGACGTTTGTACAATTACACTAAAAGGCCTTTTACTTAAAAAAAAAGAATAATGCATCAGATTGTGTGCAACACGTTTATCAGCAAAGTTTTGATCATGTTGATCATTTAGAGGCCTATCAAATATGATAGAGCAGGCTTTATAGGGTTAAAAATCACGAAACAAGAACTAGAGCCAACAATTTACTAAAGTATTAGGGAAAAACTGACTGTGCTCAACAACAAACAATATAGGGTGCATTTTATTTTGCACATTGAACCCATTTATGCTTTTATTTCTGCATATTTCTCCCATCAAACCTGTGGTCTGAATCGACACACATGAAGCCTTTAACTACAGCGCGTCTGATTGCATGAGAGACAGTCGGCGATGTAGTGCTTTCGTCGTGATGCCAGCCTGTTTTGCACCTATTTTTTGCTTTGCTAATTTATGAAAGCTATGATGTGGTACTCAGGTTTAATGCTTTTTAATCTCATGCTTCACTGGCCGCTGACATCTTTGCATGCCGGTGCGATTTGTCCTGCTGTTTCAAGGTTTATCCGGAGTGCTCCGCGCCCTACGACGAGACCGGACCTAAAGCGTCGTGAATCCTGCTGAATGGATGTTCATTTTAATCACTTTTTTGGGGGACTGTGAAGGGCTGAGAAAGCTGGCTACCTCCCGCTTAATAACATTACGCTCTAGACACTCACTCAAGCATATTTATGATCTGCGTTCCCAGCGTGTTTAGATGTTATGGCAACTCACTTATTATGACAAATTCTGCTCCAGTAAAAGCCCACATAAAATCAGAATTGGACTTGTGTGGCTTTCAGTCCATATCTATTAGCACTGAGATCATCTATATGCTGGCGGACTCCTGAAAACATTTATATTGCATTTATAATGAACAGTCTTTCTCTATTGAGGAAAAACAGCGGCCTTTGCAAATTTCTATGCAGTAAAATGCTCTATTGAAATTGAATGTAGATATTCACGAGCAGAACTGAATATCTGGATATCTGAATATCTATTTTAACTAAAACTAAAACCATTATAAAAAAAAATATATATATATTTTGTTACTTGAAATAAAATAAACATTAACTGAAGTGAGATAAAATATAAAAAACTTTATACTTATTTTATTTAATATAACATTTTTCATTTTCATTTAGTTTAACTTGAATGACTAAAATAATTAAAAAAATAATAAACTAATCAGTACAAATTAATAAAAACTAGGCCAATGTTATTTTAGCATAACTGAAATACTATGATGGTTTTTATTAATATTTTGAATATTAAATGTTTCCATTTTCATTTTAATTTTAGTTAAAATTGTAGTAATTATGTTGTGTTATTAATAATTACTATATATATATATATATATGTGTGTGTGTGTGTGTGTGTATAT